CAATCTGTGGGTTGCGACCCCTTTGGGGGTCAAACAAGCCTTTCTCAGGGGTCCCCTGAGTCATAACAGGAGCAAAATTCCAGTTATGAAGTAGCAATGAAAATAATGTTATGGCTGGGGGGTCACCACAACATGAGGAACTGTATGAAAGGGTCGCGGCATTCGGAAGGTTGAGAACCACTTAGATTCAAAGGGTTCTCATTGAGCCTCAGAATCGTCCTACAAATTTGTTGGCAATGTTGCTCCCCCAGTAATGAAAACTCTAGGGTTCAGAGATGTTGCCCTCCCGCTACTTGTTTCCTTTAGGTGGGTGTCCTCTTCACCTCTGAGAGTTCTTACCCCTCACCTCCCATCCCAGAGGTTCCCTGTTCCAACCCATGTCCTTCCAGGACCGCGCCACCTGCCTTCCTCCTCAGGTTTCGTATTCGCTTTAGCCCACATCCTAAAACCGGTGAGTCACTGGGTGTGACAGGGAGCACTGGGCTAGAAAGAGATTCCTAGGGTTGATTTTTCAGACGTGCATCTTTAGACTTGTCTTCTAAGCTGCCTGTGGGTAGACTTGAACTTCCAACCTTTTGGTTAGCAGCTGAGCACCTTTACCATTTACACCTCCCGGGGACTCCACCCTTCTTTCCAGAGCTGCTCTGCTTCCACTCGTCTAAGCCTCATTTATTGGCCACCACCTGCGTCTTCCTTCTCAGTCACAATGACTTCCCTGCCCTACCCAACAAGTTAGTTTTATCTCCCAGTCAATTCCATTTCTTCACGCACTTCATCAGCTCCCGTCCACCTGCCTCAGTCTGGCACCAAGTCTTAGCTGAGCTGCACAAACAGCCGTCTGATGATCACCCAGGCTTCAAGCTCTGTGCTTCCCCTTCTAGTCCCCATGCGCCATCTCACTGCCCCTGGCACCCTGGAACACAGTCGTGTGCCAGAGTGTCCTCGTTCCTACCCTCACCCGCTGGGCTGACTGTGGTCCCACAAATGAGGGTGGTTATGGGGAGTATTACAGAGGATGTTCGCGGTCCACTGAGTGTTTCTGAAAAGACAGCCTGGGGAGATTTCCTGGAAGAGGACGTTTTGAGATGTGAAGAATGAGAAGTAATGGGTTTTGTTGTTGTTGTTGTTATTGTTGCTATTGTTAAGAAAGAAGAGTGTTCCAGGCAGGCGAGAGAACAGCATAGGCAGGTGGCAAATATGTAGATGCTCAATAAATAGCTGATGAGCGAAGGCATCCTGGTGGGCTCATGGGTTGCGTGATGGGCTGCTAACTGCGAGGTCAACAGTTCAAACCCATCAGCCACTCCACAGAGAGCTGAGCCTTTCTGCTTCCCTGAAAAAGTGCAACCTCATAAACTCTAGTGAGGTAGTTAGTTGATTGTGCCAACCTGGCCGATAAACATAGGTGGGGTTAATTGAAGGGTGAGGGATAAATGGCTCGGTGAGCCTCGCCTTTCTAGTTCTCAGGTCTCTTGCTTTGTGATGGTCGGATCAGGGTGCAGCTGCCTTAGCCAGTTCCCTGCTTCAGCTGGCAAGGCTTACTTCCTACAAGACATCCCCAAGGAGAAGCCACATGGACCTACCCCGATGCAGCCCTGGGTGCTGGAGCAGCCGTGTGGAGACCCCTGCCAGCGCTGAGATGCTTACACATTCACTGATTCGGCTTTCCTCCTGCATTCGGCATCATTGCATCTGTTTTGTGAGATGGAGGAGGACTTTGTGGATTGGTGTTGGACATATGAGTTAATGTTGGATTATGGGTTTGGGCAGCACTGGGTTGGGATGTTTTCTTGGTGTGCACTTAACCTTTATATACAACTCCCTCTTCTACATGACATCTCTGAGGCCAGCCCTGGACCCTCCCTCTCCGCCAAGGCTGATGAGGTCTTCCTGACCCCACTTCCCTCCCAGTCCAGCCCGAACCCCTGGGGACATCATCGAGGTCACCCTGCTAGCAAAATCTGTGCCTTTGGTCCTGCTTACACAACCCAGTGTGTTTCTGGTCACGATGTCCCCTCCCCTCTGCTCCCCAGGGACCCCCTATTTCTCAACACTGGCTTTGCTCTCCTTGCTCCCCAAGGGTGGAGCGGGGAGGCTGGAGTCCCTGCAGCACACATTCACCCTGTCACTTCTACCTGCTTCTGCCCCCATGGCCTCTCCTCCAGGGGGTTCTCTCTCACCACTCCTTGAAGGACCTCACCCACCGGTCACCCCTCTTTTCTGTCCCCTCAGCCTCCCTCTCTGTCCCCTCATCACCAGGGTCACTAGTGATCTTCAAGTGGACAAATCAGTGGGCACTTCCACCCTCATCTACCTCGACAGCATGTGCCCACTCCCTTCGTTCAAACCCCTCCCTCCCGAGGCATCTCCATCTCACCCGAGTTTTCCCTCTGCCTCCTGGAAGAGGATCCTTTCTACTCTCTTTCCATCCATGTCCCTCTGCCCACCGCTTAAATGTCGTCAATCCCAAAGCTCTCTAAAAGATGGCTCGGGATCCTTGAGTTAGCAAAACATTGTTCCTACCTCCTTAGCAATTATCCTGTCTGTGCTTATCAGTACCCTCCTTGCCAAGGCCACTGCCTACTTCAGGCCTTCATCATGTCCTGCCGGGACTAATTGAAACAAATAGCCCCGGGGGGGTCTCCCAGCACCCAATCCTACCTGAACCTAAACCAAACCAAACCCCCTGCTGCTAAGTCAATGCTGTCTCATAGTGGCCGCTCTGTGGGTTTCCAAGACTAACTTTAGCCAAGGAGAAAGTCCCATCTTTCTCCCGTGAAGCTGCTCGTGGTTTTGAACTGCCAAGCATACGGGTCCCAGCCCAGCACACAACCACTACACCACCAGGGCTCCTGTGCAACTGAAAGTGGGTTCCCAAGTCGGAGTTGACGCCGTTGGCCTTCTGCTCACAACTCCATAGGGATGCTCACGTCGCCGGCGGCAGATAGACTGAGACTGGAAAGGTACTGAGGCGATTCGCCTGGCTCCCACACAAGGATGACATGCAAATTTGTGACACGGTCTAGATTCTCCTTGCAGTGGATGAGTTGAAACAGAATGTGTGTGAATTGTGACAGGTGAGACTGATAGTCGGCTCTGTAACTCTTCCCCTAATTCACAATAAAAAGTAAAACCTCTTTAGGGCACTAGGCCCTGAAGTCGCCTTTGGCCTCCATAACAGATTGGCTCATAAAATCAAGAACATTACCCATAAGTCCTGTGCTCTTTGAAAAAGTCTGGGGTGGACAGCCGTAGTGACTGACCAACGCAAAGGGTATAATCAATGACACTGAATTATACAAGTAGAAGTTGTGGAATTGGCGAATGTGCTGTTGTGGCTATTTTTGCCACGATTAGAAAATATAATAATAATTACATGAATAACAATGAATACAAGGAAGAAGAAAATGTTCTAGAATTGAGTATGATGACAATTGTACAACTCTTGTATGATTGAATTATTGGATTGTCTGACATGTGGATATAGGGCTGGTTCATTAAATGGTTTAAAAAAAAGTCTGGGGGTAACATCGATGGTATACACAGATGATTGTGCAACACACAGTCTCACATTCTAGTATCACAAACTGCCCTGGCGAGGTCCTGGTTATGCACTGGGCTGCTAGCCCACGGTCCACTGTCCCAAGACCACCAGGGCCTCCAGCGAGAAAGAGGAGGCAAAGTGTTACAGTCTCAGAAACCCACAGGGGCAGTTCCACCCTGCCCTACAGGGTCACTGTGAGTCGGATTTGACTAACGGCAGTGAGTGACACGTCACTAAACGGCCAATGGGGACTTTAAAACAATGATGAGAATATAAGGGGAATGGGAAACTAGATGAACAGAAAAGGAACAACAGAAGGGAATCATGAGCATGTTCACACAGTGTAAAAAGGTAACCCGTACCACACAGAAGTGTGCACAAGTGGTTGAAGGGGGAGCCTACATGGCTGTGTAAACAGTCACACACACAATGAAATATTATTTAACAAACCCAGACTCTTCAGGCCTTCCTCCAAGCCCCTCGGATAAAACTTAAATTCTTAGAGTGAGCCCCCTACTCCCTCTCCTCCCTTCCTCCTCATAGCCCCACACCCTTCCACCATGCCAAGCTGACCGTGCCAAGCCAACAGATGCCTGGAGAATTGCCAGGTTCATAAAAGAAACCCACCCGTTCTAGACAGGGAAGGGTCCTCACTGTGCTAGACAGGGAAGGGTCCTCACTGTGCTAGACAGGGAAGGGTCCTCACTGTGCTAGACAGGGAAGGGTCCTCACCGTCTCTCCCACTGAGTCGTCCTAGAATAATCAGGCTTCTGCGGAAAGACTCGATGGGCGAACGAAGGACGGAGGGACCGGTCCGTTTAACCAAGTCTCAGAAGTTCGTGGGAACCCCTTTGCCCACTGCTGTGCTCTGGCCCCAATGAAGGCATGGAGCCAAACTCCTTCCTACGTTCTCCTGTTTGCTGGGCGCTCCCCCCAGTTCCTCCTCTCCCCCAGCACCAGCCTAACTCAGCCACCAGCACAGAATCTGACCTCGCTCCGCTCCTGCCCCTCCGACGGACGTCATGCCTAGCAAGGAGCGCCAGTCACGAGAGAGGACACCCGGTATGAGTCGGCCTGTGGATGATCCAGGATGGGCAGGCCCATCGAGACAGAAGGAGGAGGAGTGCTTCCCTAGGGCTGGGGAGGACGGTGGCATCTGGGCGTGACAGCTAAGGGGTCCAGGGCTTCCTTCTGAGGTGATAAGAATGTCCTCAGACAGTGGGTGGTCCTGGCAGCACTTTTCTGTGAAGATACCCTTTTTTTTTTTAAATGACCTGTACACTTTAAATGGATGAATCGTGTGGTAGATGAATGATGTCTGGGCCGAACAGTTTTTCAAAACCTGCAGATCCCACTGGAAAGATTCGGCTGCTGCTTAAATGCGACTGCCAAGTCGTAGGCCCGAATCTGTGCCGGGTGTTGTTCGTACAGCGCCCAGCGTGACCCACCTCATGCCCCGCCCCCCCCTCCGGGGCTCAGCAATGTCGGTCGGCATTACAGCTGTGCCCATCCTGTAGGTGGCAATGCCGAGGAGACGGGTGGTTTGAGGGCCTGGCCCAAGATCCACGAGACGGTGTGCTTATGTCTAGTGCGGGTGCCTCTCGAAGAGAGCTGTAGCGATCTGTGGATGAGCTTATTTCCCTGGACTGAAGCTTCCTGGGAACTGGAGGTGGTATCTAGCTTGGCACAGTGCTCCCTGCACCCAGCCCAGTGACTCCTAAGCCTGATCCAAGAACCTTAAAAGGACATAGAAGTGCACGGCCCTGGAGGCCGGGGGAGAGCTGACCCTGTGGGTTCCCCAGACGTTAACTCCTTACGGGAGTAGAAAGCCTCGTCTTTCTCCTTCAGAGCGCCTGGTGGTTGAGAACTGCTGACCTTGAGGATGGCAGCCCAACTGGTAACCACTAGGACACCAGGTGCGCCCTCAGAGGTGTACTGGGCCAGTGTCAGTGGTCGCACAGGCTTGACAAAGGCAGCTCCTTCTCAACTTGCGTCCCCGGGTGCTGCGTACAGCCAGTGACTCAGCTGTGTGCCACAAGGTTGCAGTTTGGGGTCCTCAGAAGGGGCCTCAAGGAAGGCCGAGAGGTCAACTTGGACAGTGCCAGCCATTGAACACAGTCCTAGGGAACCGTTAGTCCTGATGTTGGGTGCCTGTGGGTTGGAGTCGCCTCAATGGCACCTGTTTTACCCAACCAGCCCCCCGCCCCCACCCCACCCCACCCCACCCCCGTGAGGAGATGGATTCTAGCGACAGTTTTCTCCTGGGCCCTCGATGGTTTCTCTCCCCAAAGGCCCTCTCCCCTCTGGAGTCTTTCCTGGTAACCACGAGAGGAGCCGCCCCAGCACCACTGGCTGCTCCGCTGGGGCCTGGCTCTGATCCCAGCTGCCCCGGGGCAGCAGGCAGTGGGAGGGAGGCGTCTCAGAAGGCCCTTGCCCTGAGCATGATCTAGTCCTGGGTCTTGAGACCACGTCACGCCCCTCAAATCAGGAATCCCCCAGGTTGCCCCCAGAGTCTTCCTGGCTAGGGGTTCTGGGCTTGGTGGGCATTGGAGACTGGGCCCCAGCGAAGGAGACGGGGATGTATGAAGGACGACGGACTTTCAGAGGGGTGGGGAGCAAGAGTGACCACAGCTCCTGGGGAGTGGGCAGTAGATGGTGACTCGGCAGTAGGGTCACTCCAGTGGGAAGCTAAGCAGTGTCTTCTGCCCCGGTCCCCTGGCTCTGAGCAGCCTGAGGTCAGCAGTTGACTCTCCTCTGCCCATAACCTCACTCTGGAAGCGAAGGCTCTGCCCTGGTTGTCTGTCCGTCCATCTATCATCCTCTCCCTCGTTTCTTCCCTCCCTCCGTCCCTCTCCTCTTTCTGGCGTGCAGAAGTCTTTTGCCAACATCTAGAGTGACCGTCTCGGAAACCCACAGGGGCAGGTTCTATTCTCTTCCACAGAGCCGCTCTGGGTCGGAAGCGACTCCGTGGCAGTGGAATTGGTATTTTGGGGGTTACCATCATTCCTATTGGGATCCCCTGGAAGTAACGCCAATTCAGTGGTTTAACTTCAGAACAATCGAAGGCAATTTACTCAGCACCCTATAGCAGGAGCAAGCATGTGCCCAGCACCCGAGCTCACGCGCCTCTCCTGTTTCGCCTCTCCTGTTTCGGCGGCCCTGCCTATCTTTCCCCAATAGCCAAGACGGCCCCTGCCCTGCACCCAGATGTTGAAATCCACCTAACCACTGAGGCCCAACGGGCTTCCACAGGAACCCTCCTCACCCGCCCCCAGAGACAAGCCTGCCTGCTAACTCTCCCCCTGATGCCCCAGGGGGAGCCCCAGGCGCTGCAGTCAGGGAGGGAAGCCACTGTTGGCTCTTAGAAGCTAGCGCTGGGCAAAGGCTCCCGGACCACCCTGGTGGCTCCAGGCTGGAGTGGAGGGTGGACTCCCTTGAAAACAGAGACCCTAGGACCCCAGCTGGCTGCCCCTCTCTGCCAATCACAACCCCATTGAACTCTGCAACTTGGTTCCCAGAAGCCTCAGGGTGGGGCAGGGACCCCACACCTTCCCCTCCCCTCCACCGTCTTGCTGTCCTGCAGGATTCAGCTCCCAGCAGGGAGATAGGTAAAGTGACCCCCAGGAGTCAAAATGAAAGAGGAGCAAATAGAAGCCCCTCCACCCCCACCCCACCCCCAGCTCCTAGCCCCCTGGTCCAAGAAGAAGCAGTACACTAGCTTAGAAATGGTCTCCTCCCCAGCGCCAGCATACAGCTCACTTCCCTATGGATCCCAGGCAGAGTGTCTGCACCCACCCGGCCACCGGGGAAATAGCTGGCCCCAGCCCTGGCCCTGGGATGCCGGCCCGCTTACCATGATAGAAAAGATGAGAGGGATGAGGTTGAGGGGCCAGACTGGGCAGAAGCAAGAGGCGATGGCAAGGATGAGATAATCTTTAGGGATCTCCTGGTCCTGGGTGTAGGAGGCGGTCGCGATGGAGGATGCCCTCCTGGAGCTGGTCCGTGAGGATGACGGGGCCAGCGGGGCCTCCAGGTGCCGCTCGGAGGCCACCCTGAAGGGCAGGCTGTGGCCATTCTGCTCTAGGTCCAGCGCCCCCGACAGGGATTTGGACAGCTTCCGAGTCTTCTCGGCCTTGACCTCCGCCTCGGTGAGGAGCTTCTCCATCTCCGGCAGCTCCAGAGGTGAGGTGGTCCCTGGCTCCTGTGCCAGGGGAAACTGAGGCTCCACAGGGTGGGCCATGTTGCCCCCGGGGTGGGGGGCAGGCTGCTCCTTCTCCAGGCCAAGATGAAGGACCTCAGTGCGCCATCCCTCAGCCCCCACGGCCCCCCGCGGGCACAACACAAGCGGAGCGAGCCCGCCTGGGGGCTGGGAAGGTCAGAATGGGCACGCCCAGGCCAGCTGAGCCCAGGGGCTGGGACCTGCCTGCTGCTGGATCCGAGCTGGAGCCTCCAGCGCCGCCGGTGAAGTTTGAGGCCAACTTTGTAGGCACTGCTGACGGTGCAGATGGGCAGGGAAAACGGCAGAAAGCTCAGAGCCGAGAGAGGAGTGGTTCTCTTCCAAGGAGTGAGGCGTAGGCTAAGCCAGGAAGGCTGTGTGTGTGTGTGTGTGTGTGTGTGTGTGTGTGTGTAAGCCACACAGCTGCCTGTCCACCCCACCCCTCCCCTCCCACCCGCCCTCCTCCAAGAGGCTTTCTCTTTTCAATTGCCCTCTTCTCTCCCCAGAGCACCGCTCAGTCACTGCCTCTGCCTCTCTGCCTCCGCCTCTTCCCCAGCCCGGGCCCAGCCCAGCCCAGCACCGAGGGACTGGGCCAGTGTCTGGTTCCACTGCAGCCCCACGACAGAGTCGGGGGTTCTAGACAGGAGAACAGAGTGAAGTGCGTCACAGAGGATGTGCCTTCGGCTCTGCTGGGGAAGCCGGCCCTTGGCTTCCTTCTGGCTGGAGTAGGCTGGTGCTACCTCCCGTCTCTTGGGACAATACCAGGCTCTGGTCTACCCCCTGCCTCCCACCCCGCCTCGGTTCTCAGCTCCCAGGGGGCATCCAGAGCCTCGCTTCAGAGGACAGTGAGGGCTTGACCGTGGTCAGTGGAGGTCTCTGCCTGGACCGAGCGGGGAGGGATCTACTGACCGGTCTTAGCAGGTCAGATGGTGAGGCTGGGGCAAGAGGGTGCCTAAGGAGGGAGGGAAGGCCTCCACCCAGCCCATCAGAGCCTCCCTGGGGCACTGAAGAGCACGCAGACAAGGGCAGCCTGCTCTGGAGCTGCTCCGGACAGAGTCCTGCTCTGGGGGGTCCAGTGGCCAGGGGGACCTGAAACCACCAGGGGCTGTGTGTATAGTTTGGAGGAAGAGACAGTAAACGGGTAAGGATCCTATGGTCTTGCGGGGATGGGAAGGGAGAGATGGAAGGGGCCCCAGAGATTTCGTGGTTCAAATCTGTCGATATTCCAGATTTAAAAACCGAGACCCAGAAATGGAAAGAGATATCCATCTCAAACTGTATCCCAACCAGACGGCATTCCCTATTCTGTGTCTGCAGACTGTTTTCTTTCTTTCCATGAAAATGGATAGGAGCTGCCTCTGGAATGCTGCTTCCAGCAAAAGGGTTTGCGGAGAGGGGGTGGGGAGAAAGTGGAGGAGGGGTGCATACGCAGAGAGAGTGAAGAGGGGCTCTCAGGAAAAGGAAGGGCTGGGATAAGAGCCGAGGTTCGCCTGCTCCTGAGCCTGAGGAGCTGCGAGGACACCTGGGAGCACTTCCATTGCTTAGTTTAACTATTTTGTTTGCAGTTTGGGTTTGTGCGATTTGACTATATTAAAATGAGATTTTTCTCTTTTTTTGCAATAAAGGAAACCCAGTTACTTGCAGAATGCAGACTTCCCGAGCAGTGGCATTGAGGCTCCCTGCTCTGCTTAGAAGGAGCTCTGGTGGCGCTGTGGGATAAGACTGGGCTGCTGACCACAAGGTTGACAGTTCAAACCCACCAGCCACTCCTCAGGAGAAAGATGAAGCTCTCTGCTCCCAGTCTCTCAGAACCCCAACACGGGCCTGCTAGAAGTCCAAATTGAACTCCCCAAGCACCCCGAGGGAGAAAGGTGAGCTTTTCTGCTCCAGCAAAACTTGACCGTCTCAGAAACCCAAATGGGTCCATCCTATTCTGTCCTGTAGGGGTGCCCGGAGTCAGAATCGACTCAACAGGAGTGAGTTAGGTTTGTTTCTTATCAGGCAGAATCAGCTCGATGGCAGTGGATCTGGGTTTGGGGTCTTGCTCTCAAAAGACAGTTTCCTCTTTCCCTTAGGGCTCGGAAGGTTCTAACCGAACCTGGCGAGTGGGGGAGAAAGGGTACCAGCTAGGGTCCTCTACTGAGGAGCTTCCAGAAATATATGAACGTTCGTGGGAGAAAAACAAGTTGGGTCTCTAAGAGGACTCCTAGGCTCAAGTTGGTATCCAGCGTGGACAGAATTCCATGTCCCAACCTGACAACTGTCCCCTCTGTAGGACTCAGGTCCTCCTTAGGGCCTGAAGTTGCTCAGCCTCATTTAGTAACCACTGAAGGGCGCCTGACCCAAGCCATGGTTATTTCCAGTCACCTCATCTGTGTGGGAAAGCTGGGCAGCGAGTAAGGCAGATGGAGGAAGGACGGATGCCTTTGAATCATGGTGTTGGCGAAGGATATAGAATAATACCACGGACTGCCAAAAGAACAAAAACACATCTGTCTGGGAAATCACAGCCAGAATGCTTCTTAGAAGCGAGGGTGGTGAGCCCTTATCTCTCGTACGTGGAACAAGTTAGCAGGAGGGATCGGTCCTTGCAGAAGGGTTTGGTAAGCTAGAGGGCCAGCCAAAAAGAGGACGGTCACCAATGAGATGACTCACGCAGTAGCTGCAACAATGGGCTCGAGCGGACTGGACAGCATTTTGATCTCTTGTACGCAGGGAAACTGAGTCAGAATTGACCAAACAAGGCCAAAGGAGGCTTTTGAGCTCTTGAATGTGTGTAGTCCAAATTGAGTAATGAGTGTAGCATACACGATGGCGACTGAAGACTTAGGACCCCCAAAATGTGGAATATGTCATTCTGTATGATTATATATTGAATTATATTTTGCCTGCATGGGGCTGAAAAGAAAAAAAGGTTCTTTAAATTCATCTTATCTGTTTCTTTGATAAGATGCCGGCTAGATTTTTAAAGTGCCTTGCATTGTATTTCTATTGGACAGTACTGGCATTGAGGACCGAAGGAACTTGACCTAAAGGGGTCCTTTTAATTTGATGGAAATTTGAAGAGAAAAGAAGTCAAGGAGTCCCCAGGGGAGACAGCGAGATCACCTGGATGGGCTTCAGGGAATGTGAGCTGCTGGGATCGCAGCGCCATCTAGTGGTCTGGTGGTGACACAAAGGGCTCAAGCCAGAGAGAGAGGAAATTTATTTGCGTGTCACTAAGCGGGTTCCCACCCACAGGGACCCAGTGCACAACAGAACGAAACGCTGCCGGGTTCTGCGCCTTCCTCACAATTGTTTCTATACCTGAGCCCATTGTTGCAGTCAGGTGTCTTCCATCTCTTCTACGGCCTTCCTCCTTTACTCTGCCCCTCTGTTTTACCAAGCATGATGCCCTCCAGGGACTGGCCTCTGCTGACAACATGCCCAAAAGTGTGTGAGATGGATCTTGCCATCCTTGCCTCTAAGCAACAGTCTGGCCAAATTTCCTCCAAGACAGACGGGTCTGTCCTTTTAGCTGTCCATGGTACTTTCCGTCTTCTTCGCCGCAATTCACAGTGCTTCGGTCTTCCTTATTCGATGTCCAACTTTCACATGCATAAGAGGTGAGTTAAAATACCATGGCTCGGCAAGCCAAGCCAAGCCATGATTCCAAGAGTGGTGACCTCAAATCCCCCAGCTGCTCCGGATCCGACTCCAATCTGCAGATAGTGCCCCATTTTTGTTTTACAAAGGAGGCTGTATGAGTTTCTGGATTAGCACAAACTTGGTTCAAAGTAACTGAAATGTATTCTGTCTCAGTGCTGGAGGCCAGACATTCCAAGTCAGGGGCCATGCTCCCTCAGAAGGTTCTAGGGGGGACTCTTTCCTTGTCTCCCCCAGCCTCTGGTGGCTCTAGCTTGTTTTAGCATAGGGTTGCACAGCATCAAACTCGGGGTTCACCTGACCTGCTCCTCTATGTCTGTGTCTCCTCCTCCTCCTGTCTCTTAGAAGGACACTTGTCATTGGATTTAGAGTCCACCCACATCATCCAGGATGAGCGCATCTGAAGATCCCTCATTTAATTACAGCTGCAAAAGACTTCTTTCCAGATAAGGTGCACATGCCATTCTGAAGGTCACCTTTCAACCCCTACAGAATGGATTTGGCCAGCTCAGTATTAACTCAATATGCGTTTCTCAAAAAGTGGATTACATGCACAAAGTTGAGGTTTCAGAAGTTTAACAGGAAACGCTGAAGAACCCTGGGCCCGTTTCCTACAGCACGGCATGCAGCTGGACCAGATGTGGCACAGAACTTCTGGGCCAACTCTACACTCGCAGCATCCACCTAGACTAGCAGTGTCTGAGCTGTGAGCCCTGGCCGGCCTGGGACCACTCATTGTGCACTCAGACATGGAGAAGTGAAGGAAGTAACCCCCCCTCTTTCCCCAGGGAGCTCCTGGCAGCGGGCAGGGGTGCCCGGCTCACAGTTAACACTGGCTGGATGAACAGAGCAGCAAGGAAAGCCCAGCGAGTGCCCAGGGTGTGTCCACACCCATCTCTGCCCACCCCACCCCTCCTTCGTGCAGCCGGAGGTTGAGATGAGGGATGTGAGCAGCAGAGGGAAATTGCGCCTGGATACTGTCCTCTGGGGAGAGCAGGCAGGCCTGGGATACAAACTGCAGGCACACAGCTACCTTGGAGCGTAATCCATGGAGAAGAGGCAATAAAGGCCCCTCTTACCTGTGTGCTTTATCTTTGGCATCTCTCTGGGTGGCAGGGAAACCCTAGGGGCTGACAGAACAGGTGTAATTAAGTCAATTCCTCTTTCTAAGAGGCCTTTCTCAGCCCAGCCCACCCTGCTACCTTGCTACAGGGCTTTCCCAGGGGCTGTGCCCAAGCATGCACACGCACACACTCACATACCAAGGGCAGGAGTTGGAAGGTGCATACTTGCGACAGGAGCCCTGTGATGCTACTGAAAAGTGTCATTTTTATTATCCATTGTCCTTTCAAAGGGAACGACGTCTCCTTTGAACGATTTGAGTATTAATCTTACGTATACTTTCTCTTTGTGTGTGTCTATCAGCTCCATGTATCTTTAGGGTAACTTTGACTTACAGGTGTGCTTGCCCTCTCTGGTACGTTCCTCTCTCTCTTCACTCATCCGTATTATTGTACCAGCATTTCCCCCTCTCTCTGGACAAACCCATCTGGGCTTAGTTAATAACCTGCATGGCTTTAATAATCATAAGCTTACTTTCTTGGCCCCAGCACATCAGTAATTTTGGAGAGGGATTTGATCTTGGGAAGCCAATTTTTAAAAATCAAGCCAGCCCTCCAGAAAACCTGGAAGACATTGGAGTGGGTAGGAGTGGGAATGGGGATGGGCTCAAAGATTTGTGCGAAAATTCCATGATCTTTTCATTCCAAGTTTCTACCAACTTTTTGAAGCTTCCTTGTGTATGTAACTATGGCTGTTGTGGCCTGGGGTCCCCAAACATCAGGAAGAGGAGGAGTTAGATCGGGACATAAGCACACGCAAATATTCCCACATCCACACACCTCTCTGTAAGCACACACGTGTGCATGGAAAAGAAAAAAAAACTCATAAAAGGAAACCAATAGCCAAGCCCGTTGCCATCAAGTTAATTCTGACGCCTGGTGACCCATGTGTTTGGGAATACTACTGCATTCCAAGAGATTTCAGGGCTGTGACTTTTAGGAAGCCGGTCACCAGGCCTTTCTTCCGAGGTGCCTCTAACCTCCCAGCTAATTAGCCATGAGTTTAACCATTTCTACCACCCCCACCTCACCCCCAGATACAAACACTACCCTCAATCAGCCCCGACTCACAGTGATGCTATAGAACAGGGTAGAACGAGGGTTTCTAAGACTGCAATCTTGACAGAAACCAGCGGCGACATCTTTCTCTTGTGGCTGGCAGGTTAGAATGGCCGACCTTCTGGTTAGCAGCAGCGTGCTAAACCACTGCATCACCTGCGGTCTGCAAGGTCTGAATGTTCAAAGCCACTAGTAGCTCTGCAGGAGAAAGCCGAGGCTGTCTACGCCCGTAAAGAGTGGCCCTCTCAGAAACCCACAGGGGCAGCTCGACCCTGTCCTAGAGGGTCGCTGAGAGTCGGCCTCGACTGGATCGATGGCAGTGGGTTGGCACGGTTGCTTGGGGGTTGTTTGTTTTGTTTTTGCAGGATTCCAAATACCCATCCCAAGCTCACTGCCATCGCGTCATTGCCAGCTCACCGCTAGCCCCTGTGGGTCCAAGACGGTAACTGCTTACGAGAAGAGAAAGCCCCGTCTCTCTCCTACGGAACTGCTGGTGGTTTTGAACTACAGACCATGCAGATCACAGCCCAATGCTAACCACTATAGCACCAGGGCTCCTGACAAATACACATGCACATGCACATATACAGATGTGCACACACATGACGAGTACAGGTGTCCAAAACTACCCCGTGCATGCTCTGCCTATGACGACTTTGTGACTAGAGGGTATCTTCACAGCTTGCATGCAGCGAGTGCTTGCGTGGACCAGGCACGATGCTAAGTGCTTTCAATGTCCTGTCTCCTTCTAGTCTGAGAGCTGAAGTACTATTGTTAGCCCATTATACAGGTGGGGAAAGCAAGGTGCAACCAAGGTTCAAAACTGGTAGGTGGGTGATGTGCCCTAGGTCCCTCCGCAAAAAGAAGTGAGGGGATTTTTTGCATCCCTTTCCCAGAACGCACCTGCCCACTGCCTGTTGGTGTGGCCACCCTTGCTGTTCACAGACTGAGGGCAGCTGGGCGAGATGAACCCTCATCTTTTTCTACTCTGGAAGTTCAGAAAGCAGAGGCTGTGCCTCATTCTGTCTTCTTCCCAGGGAATAAAAACCCAAGGCCAAAGCGAGAACCAGCAATGCCCAGGCAGGCCTATCATACAAGTGTGACCACTTATCAAACAACTGTGCCTTGAACACCTTTTAAGTCGAAAACTACCTTGTAGCAAGTGTTAATCCTCACACTACCCTGAGACAGAGGCACTACCCATGCCAGAGGGGAGGAGCTGGGGGCCCAGGTGACTGATGGGCGTCACATCTGGGAAGGGCGTGAGCAGGTGTTGGATCCCAGACCCAGTGCCCCTCTGTGCACTGCCAAACCAGAGCACACCTTCTCCGTGAGGACCTGGGCTGGGGCCAAAGAGCCACATCCTGTTCCCAGGTGAACCCAATGACCTCTGCCACCCAGAGTCAAAATCATCCTTCGGTTTGCGCTGCAGCCCTGCCCATGACATTGGGAGCCCTAGCACCTGTGCTTCGGAAAGAGGATACCAAGCAAAGGAATCTTCAGTTATGAGGGTGCACCTTACCTCGCTGCCTCTGGGGAACCCTTCTCCTGCCTGGGTCTGTATTTAAGAGCATGGAGCCCCATACTCCAGGCTGCCTATGTGGACCCAAGAGTCCAGCTCTCTAAGGAGACCAGAATGCTCTCAGGCCTCCCCTGACGCAAGTGGTCCTCACCCCAGCAACCAGCATCTGCGTCATCAGCCCAGCCGCCCCGAGCAAAGCTAGCCACTGACCTAAGGGTGCCGGTCTTAGGTACAGGCCAGCTCTCCAGGCTGCTCTGGGTACCTGAGCCTCCCACAGCCTCCGCCTGGGCCCCTCACAATCTTGCCTGGGTTCTAAATCTGCCCACCATCACAGAGGCTCTGTCTGCACGGGCCTCCTCTTCCCTGGGAGCTCCATCTGCCCCTCTCTAAGGATACAGGCAGGACTTTCTTACCGTGGTCTACTGTGGAGTCCATTCTGACTCATAGCCACCCTACAGGACAGACAGAGTCTCCTTGCCCCATGGGGTTTCCAAGGCTGAAATTGTTATGGGAGCAAACCTCCCCATTCCTTCTCCCACAGAGCAGTTGGTAGGTCTGAACTGTTGACCTTTCCGTTAGCAATCAAGTGTTTACCCACTGTCCCACCAAGTGCCCTTGCTGGCCTCCAGTCCCTGGCCCTGCCCTCAGAGACTGGCCTGGTTGGTCTCAGGGCATTGCCCACTGTGACTCACTGTGGGCAGCAGCTCCACGGGAAGGTCTGGAGAGCAGGCCGGCCTCATCCTGACTCTCCGGGCCCCATTCCCTTTTCCCAGAGTGCTCAGCCCACCTGGGTCTTGCCATGAACCAATGTTCCCTGGCACATCCCTGTAGGCTTGGGGCTCTGACCCAGTGCTCCAGGGTGAGCCCCTGGGGCCTCAAACCACCAGCCGCACCCACCAGGTCTTCCTGCCCCAGGACCGCTGAGCCAAGAGGAGATGTGCTAACGGGCAAAGGATGCCTTTTCCGATTTATTTATCTGCTTCTGATTGCCTCTCCCAGATCGCAAACTTGGGGCACCAGTACAGGCCAGGAGGAGGAGGCTCTCACCAAGTGCCTGCTCACACTCCCCCACACAGAAGCCCCCTGTCCCAAAGTCCCCAACCTCCTAAAAGGCAGCAGGGAAACAGGAAGGCCAAAGGTCCTTTCCAGGGAGGAAAGATCCTGGATTCAGCCAAGATCCTGCTCCATCCGCCCATCTCCGAGGCGAGGGGTGCAGGCCCGGCTCTCAAGGTTCAGCACGACCCATCCAGTTTTCCTCTGCCACCGGTGCGCTCTGTGACCCGCTCAGGAGTGCTGGTAGCTCAGCCCAGGGCCAGCTCGCAGGTAGCCTCGCGGCCAGGGAAGTGAACCGGTAGAGGCCACCCCGGGGCATCGGTACCAGCTTCCCCCG